AGCTCTTCCCGCAGGATGTGGCTGGGGTTAGTGCTCCTTTAGTCTTGTGTTCTCAGTTTCAGCATCTCACCTCCAGTCACATCTGAGAGTAACACAGCATCACTTCCTCTCTTCCCATCCTCTTTCAAGCATACTTAGTTCTTTAAATCCAGATTCTTAGATACTTACCTATACATACTTACACAATTAGTTAATAATTAATTATATAATTAAATGGAGGAATAATGCACTAAGGTAGTCTATAAATATGGTGTTTACTATATAGACATTTATATAGCACTAAAGTACTGCAAAGTCAAGTTTTAAATCAAGAAATCTAAATATAGTTTTGTATTTTTTCTTCTCTACCCTGTGAGTCTTCCATTAAGAATAACTTTGGTGCTGGAGGGCAGCTTAGTAAAGGACAACTGCTTTGCTCTCCAGTACTACTAAACATAAAAAGTAAACGTGTCCTCTATAAAAGAAATTGTAAAGCTAGTGTAAGGGGTTGATGAAAGACAAAACAAGTTCACAAGGTAACTTTAAAAGCAAATGTTAAAGGGAAAAGTTAAAAAAAAAAACAACCAAAAAACAGGTTTACAATAAAAATCATGCAGGTAATTTATCATCTGCAAATCCATCTCACTAGTCCACTGCTTTACCCGAGGCTCCAGTGTGCTCCCTACTCTACAATCCCGAGGTCTAGAATGTCTCCTCCACCTAAAATGTTTCCATTCCTCAAATTTAGCCCTCTAAAGTCAACTTTGATCTGCCCTCAAGTTAAGCATTCACTCTAACATTCCTATTTACTCCTGTTATTCAATGGATTCCTTAAAATAGCTGTTATTGTATCTAGCTCCCTGATGTCCCGATTTAAAAATGCTGAACATAGATCTCTTCCCCGAGTTCCCAGGGAACATAAAGAACTTGGCACACACATTAACAGATAAATTTATCAGTCATTTGTAATGGTGCATATCTGCAGTCTCAGCACTAGAAGAGCTAAGGCAGGAAGGTCCTATGTTCAAGGCTTGCCTGGGCTACACATTAGGAAATTGTCTCAGCAAAAAGAAAGAAGAAATAACATTAAATATATCAATAATGATATCAAGCTTACTGGTTGGGGCCTAATTATATTTTCCAGGTACAGAGTGCTACACATCTAGGTGTGCACTGAAATGTGTGCTTCTGAACTAGGAAAATGAGGGTACAAAGTACAAGCAAATGAACAATCAGTTCAAAACGACTTCATTAAAAGCACCATCCCAAATAATTATTCCTACAACTAATTTTTTCTAGGAATCTTGTTTTTATGGGGAGCTTTTGGTTTTGAAAAGGTGAGGGTGCAAGATACACTGTTTATAGTAAAGAAAAGGCTAAGCTGCAATCAGCAAGATTTATAAATGATCTAGGTTCTTGGCCTCTATGAAGGGCCATAGCCATTATGACCTCCTTCCTCTATGACCTCACTAGAGTCAGGAAAGAACTTGTCCAGGGAACTCAATTACACTCAAGAACAATCAATTTTATTCCCTTTTAAATGAACAGTAGTTACCATCTATCAATACCATCAACCAGTTAGCTAGATCCAAAAAGAAAATTCACAATGTATACACCATCAATGAATGTGGCCACATGCTTTGAGACAAGATCTCACTGTGTGGCCCAGACTGGAACTCTCAATCCTATCCCAGCCTCCTGAGTCCTAGAAATACAGATGTACACCACCACATCCATCCAGAGAGGCCTTGGTAAAATCTAATAGATTAAAAACAACAAACTGATGAATTAGACCACGAAAGGCCCTGGGTTTGATGCTAAGCCCAATTACAAATGAGCATAAAATGAAATCGCATTAAGTATCACTAAATTTTGTGCCTGTCATTTTGACTTCTTAAAACTTAAGGTTCACAGGCATCAAGGGCCAAGTGCATTCTGAAATTCTGCTTTCAACATACTTATTGCAAATAGCATAAACTTAAAGGTCTACTCCAAATCCCACCTCCCCCAAAATACACTGGTAAAGTACAGCCTGCCTTCTCTGATTTGCAGCTCTCAATTTCTGGGATTGAAAACTCAAGAAAAAAAGAAAGAAAGAGAGAAAGAGAGGAGAGAGAGAGACGAGAGAGAGACGAGAGAGAGAGAGAGAGAGAGAGAGAGAGAGAGAGAGAGAGAGAGAGA